GAGTACACTGAGCTGTAAACATTAAAACTTTAAGTAAAAAACAACCCAAAACCAACACAAATAAATATATGCACAATATGTACACAGTTTTATACAGTGTAAGATTTTATGGCTTACTAAAAGTGACCGGTGTGTGCAGTTAGCATAATAATACTGAAAGACATAAATATAAACACTGAGTTACTCAAGTGACTTTTATTCGTAGTGGGTTAGTACAAACTGGTCTTCCAGCAGAACTATTAGCCTGCTAATGTTAGCTTAGCTTGTGCTAACGTTGACAACTCTAACAACTTTACACACAAGTTTATTAGAAATAGAACAAAAGTTCAAAACCTCAAGTTTTAAAGCTTTTTATTTATTTTAGAATTTCTCATATTATTTTTCTGAGAGCAAAATGAGGTGCCTTGCTAGTCTCCCATAGCAGACAGCTAACGGCTAACTAGCTCTTAGGAAGTGAGGTTTATTTTCGTTTTGACATATGAAGAGTTCAACATTAATGAATTATAGGATTAGCTCCGAGTAAATGTCAGAATGAAAGCTATTGGTACGTCAAACAAACCAAACACTGCCAAGCAGCCATTTGTTTTGGAGCTTTCCGAAGTTTCCAGAAGCTGCTTTAAGCGCGCTCTTCCTGCCTCCACAGTGCAGTGATGGCTTGGATCTCAGTACGGGTGGAATCCACCATCCTTAGTTCGGGTAGATCCTGCCTTAGTACGAGTGGAATCTACTCTTATGATTTTAGCTGACACATGTTGTCGACCCCCAGTTGTACCCGGGCCGATACTGATGTGCCAGTGCTGACTCTTAGCCCAATCTGCCAGGCTGTTAGTTGGGTTATTGGCCCGCTAGCATGTTATCAAGCTAACAGTCAGCCTACTGTTACAGGGATGCACAACTCCGGTCTTGGAGGGTCGGGGTCCAGCACAGTCTGATAGTTTCCCCTCCTCAAACACACCCACCAAACCTGGCAAGTAACAGATGAATGTAATGAGGTGTGTTTGAACGGGTAAATCAACAAACTCTGCTGGACACCGGCCCTCCCTTGTACTATTACCAGGGCAAAAGATACTTAGTCCAATTTCAGAGAAAAAAAACTTTATAGGAGTGATGCTTATGCAGCAAAACCTCTATTTCTATGTGTGGTTTTGTACATTTGTACATTACATGTGATTTACTCTGTTATATAGCCCCATGTTTATAGGGAATTACCAATTCGGTAAAATGAAGCCCGGTTTTCAAACGGGCTAAGGCAGGTACTTAAGCACATGTGCAACCCATTTAAAACCTTACATCAACTTAAAATTGTCAGGCAGCGTGTCGGTATGAGGTGTCATGAACTCACTAAAGGTTGTTGATTACATTTAGCAAGTTATATTTTTCACAGTGCAAGTGGAACTAATCTAGTTCAATCAGAAGCTACCAAAAACCCATATGGTGACTGATGAAAAAGCAGTCACAACTAACTAGCAGTCTGGCACATTGTTTAAGCCTTAGCCCAGAAAAAGTGAATGTTTTGTTTTTTGTTGACAATCTTCAGTTATAGAATAATCAGACTTAAATTACAGTGACAGTGTGCAGAAAAATTTCAGTTAAATATTTTTCGCAGGTCGTTAATTCCTAATTTCAAGATAGTAAGTCAATATTTTGGTGTACTGATGCCAGAAACAGAAAAAGGAAAACAAAACATTAGTGATACTTTTTTGTGCTATGTCAAAAACAAAAAACCAAAAAAGATGGTACGAGGATACGAGGTTTTCTTTCGACAGCAGCGATATACTATTGGTTGATGGTAAGTCAGTGGTGTATTTGTTACCCCTGTAATCTGTATTTGTGTGTTCCAGCCTCAATTAGTGTAGGGCTTAGACTACAAAGCCAGACTATAAGGGTTACTTGGGGGAGTGAAGGAGTAGGGTCAAGGGAGCCATTTGTGTGTAATGTTATTGACCTTGTGGCTTTCAGACATGTTTAGGTGCAACAGGCAGATTTTTAGGCTGTGTTAGTCTATCCGAAGTTGACCAGAGGAGGATGGGTTCCCCTTTTGAGTCTTGGTTCCTCTTAAGGTTTCTTCCTCTTGCTCTTAGGACGGTTTCCTTGCCACCGTCGCCATTGGCGACGCTCATGAGGGCTTGG